CCTGCTGAAAACTCAGTGTTATGTCACATTCTAGATCAAAAAATTTTAAACTTCTAAGTATAGCTTTTTGCCCGTAGGAAAACTAATACAATGGTTTTCGATATTTTTTTTTTCCAATTCTGTTTTAAACAAGGACATGCTTTTACAGTTCTGCATTTAATTGTGTGTCCTACCTAAAATCGGGTGTACCTTCACTTTTCAAAACCTCTCAAATCCACTGAAAGTTTGTGGCTGGGCCTTTTGGGTTCAGGTGAGCTGTCACTTCTCTCAGAGCCACTGCCAACAGTAGGACTGCCCCCAAACATTGGTGCAGCTTGGAAGAGCAACACAGTTTCTTGGAGTTTAAGGTTCAGTTTGTTGGCCAACATTTCTTTTAATCACTCTGTACCAAATAAGCTGCTTCTGTGGGATTGCATAGGTAAGGCTTTTCTCTCCCCATGAAAATGGCAGGGCTAGTCACTCGAGTCAGCCCCACCAGCTGGGAGGTAGGAGCTCCCAGATTTGTCAGAAATGGGGTTTTTGGCCATTTTCTTTGAGTAAACTAAAACATATCAGAGGAGCCTATTAAATACACCTCTGTCCTCATCCGTTCTTCACCAAGCTGCAAGGGACGCTGTTTATGCATTGTGGTGTGCAGTGCTGATATGCAATATTAACAGTGTCACTTGGACATATGAAAGAAAACCCCTTGGTATTCCTTCTGGTCTGCACAGCTCCTGCTGGATGGTTAGTTTCATGATAAGGGCCAGCAGTTCTATTTTTATGTCCATATTGATTTCCTTTTTCTCTGGACGTGCGCTGTGCCATCTCCATTTTACCTTGATTCCTGGCAATTTGCACTGGTGAGAGTTTCCCTGATAGGTAGCCAAGGAGCTTTTTGTTCTTGTGTTTCTCTGTGCTTTCAGTCTAACAAGAGAGAGAGAAATGCATTGTTTATTGGCCTTAGCTATGGACTACTAATGAATAAGGCGGCGGCATCTTGACAACAACTGACCTTTTCTTCTGTCTTGGAGTTGTTTCCTCTTCGTGGTGAAGACACAGGCCACAATGACTACTAAACCTTGCAGCCCTATAAACTGTGCAATCATACTTCTCTCTGAGGAAGCTAGTTGTGGTTAGCCAGGACCTGGGATTTGCACACTAAACTCTGAGCAAAACGATGTCTCTTTGCTCTCTTGGAATATTTATTTGATTTGTGCTTACCTGTACACAAATTCAGAATGCTGCAATGGGCACTTGAGAAGTATCTGAGCAGTAACGTGTGACTACCTGCAACTAGTCCTGTCTCTGATGCTGAGCAGAAGGGGTGTCTCTTTAAAAAATGGGAGTTGTTGTGCCAAGAAAACACACTCATCACATTTGCTCTGCCCAAGGAAGCTGATAAGCCGTGCTGGTTCTGCATTGCACAGGTGGTGATTATCTATCTAGGAAACTGCAGGTGCAGGCTGAATTTTCCATTTTACAATGAAACACTAATGTTGTTTTTAAACTGTTGATACATAAATTTGAGAACAAAAACCACACAGAACTGGATAGGAAACTTTCTACCACTCTGAGCTGTTGTTTCGTGCTCTCAGAGGACACACACACTAAAATATCGCATCATTTTTACACCGGTTTCTTTTCTTGAAGATCAGATTTGCCTTTTAAGTGTTTTATTCATTTCAGTCTGCAAATCTGCAGAAGGAACTTGAAGCCTCCAGACATGAGATTTTAGCTGTAAGCAGCTGAAAGTTGAGTTCCTATTCAGACTTTTGGTAGCTCAAAAATTATTTAAAGTGGTTGGGCTATAACAAGCTGTACAAAGCTATCTGAAAACAGCAGAAAGAAAATCCAGTAAGAATAGGTAGATAGATTTTGAATAATCAAATAGTTTAAGCACTTTCTAAGCATTAGCCTATGGTAAGTGAGAAAAGAAAAGAAAAATTATGCAAATAAAGAAGTATTTGCACGACACAAAAAGGACAATATTTCACTGTACTTAAGAACAGACCTTGGTTTTGCATGATGAAAATGCTACTAGAAAATCAGAAAAATAACAACATGATCACAAGAAAGCCCCTACATAATACTAAAGTCTTTCCCTCTGTAAGTTATGGCCTAGCTAAAGAGGAAAAGAAATTAAAAATAAATCGTGAACATAATGAGCCGCAGCCAATGTTTTGGCCAAGGATGCAAAATCTCTGATGGTGGTTCCCATTTCCCAGTGCCTCAGAGAGCAGCTTTCTGCTCCGGCAGAGCAAACGGATAAAATCCGTGCAAGGCACATTGGCATTCCCCATCTCAGCTAACCAGACATATTTTCTTAGAGGAGCCTAAATTAGAGGCATGGTATTTAAATTCTGGTTATACTTAAATATTCCTATCCTTCTGGGTAAAGCTGTTCAAGCTCTGTTTCTTGAACTTTGGCTTATCTGTTATTCAGAGCGTTACTGCTGTCTGTCTTGTTGGAATCCTGTTTATAGGACTGTACACTACTGAGAGATCAGGAGCTAAAAACAGCAGGCAAAATTGAGTTTTAATGAATGCAAATTAATGCTCACTGGGGAAAAGCCAATTCCTCCTATATATACAGACTGATGGAAATTAAATTATTTAGTAACCTTCAGAATAGCTCTTAATGTTAGTTGACGGTTCTATGGAATGGCTGCTCAGCATTCAATGGTACTTTAAAAAATAAATTAGGAATTTGTAGGAAAAAATGATGAAAAAAATCAAAGCATAATTATGACAACATGTACATTTCTGGTGTGCCTGCATTTTGGCTACTGGTTGCAGCAGAACTAGAAAGTATAGAGAAAAGCAGTAGCAATGAGCACAGACTCAAAATGCCTTTTGTACAAGATGATATTAAACTACAGCATTTCCTCTGGGAAAAGAGGCAGTGCGTGGAAGCCACACTAGAGGTTTGTAAATTCTTGCTTGGCACAGAGCAGACAAATAGGAAACAATTGTTCATCTCTTCTCAGAACTTACGAGGCAGAAGCCACTACCTGAAATTACTGGGTAGCTGGTTTAGGAAACTCACAAAATGAATTGATTTTTTCTGTAAATTAAACTGTGGAATCCATTGATATTTAGCATGATGAATACTAAAAGTTGAGATGGAAAAAAAGGAAAATAAAGCACGGAGAAATGCCTTAAGGGCTATTAAGCACATCATTGATAGAAGCTCTGATATTAAAAGAAATAAAATCAGTGGGAAGGATACAATGGGAGAAGAGCATAGTCTGGCCACATTCTTCCTTTTCCCCTGTGAGTACCCACTGGACAAGACACTGCAGCACAGCCCTTCAGGACCTCACTGCCTTCCTTCTAACATAGGCTCACCTCCCATCTGTAAATGGTCCGAGGCCGAAGAGGTGCATCTGCAGTACCTCTGAAGCATCTTAACTGCTGTTTTATAGCTGAAAGAAAAAAAGAGCTGAGCTTTTGTTCATACTTGTGGGGGTAAGCGTGAGAGCAGTCTTCTGTGCATTGCTGAACAGGCCGTGCTGGTATTTCAGGTCTCCCTTGCTGATCAGAGCCATGAAATGACTTGTCCAGCTTGGGCAGGTCCGGACCCACCCAAGTGCAGCCGTGTGCTCAGGAGCTGAGCCCCTGCGGCCATTAGGTGGCCAACAAGGGCAAGCTCACAAAATGCCACCACAAGGTGGTGAAGGTGACAGCTGAAGCTCTGCTGTTCTGCAAGGCCAGAGCCACGGGCAGGCTGTCCCCGATTTCCTCCACCTCGTATTTTCCATATTCAGACTTAGGCTTGCTCAGACCTTAACTACCAGGGAGAACAACTGCAGGAATTACAAGTGCAGACTGACAGACCTTTTGGGTGGAATAATTCAATGACTGGAACACATTTTTAATGCATATTGCATGAGTGAATCAGCTCATCGTTTTAATGCAAAACTATCTTTTCCTTTCTTATCCCTTTCTCTTCCACACTGGCTATCCAAAGAGGGAGGAAGTTAAGGATTACAGGAGGGTCAGCCATGGGAGGAAAAGGTTTAACCCTACATACTCCAAATGGATGGTCTTGCATTGGCAGGATCAGTGCTGCAACTAACATTGTGTCCTTGTAGTCTGTGTCATGAACTGCCAAGTTTTTTCTTTATCCCTTAAAAAGCGTCAAATTGAAGATATTTAATAGACATGCAAATGCAGTGAATTGAAAACTGAATGAAGCATTAATGTCACAGAACATGTTCGGCCTCTTTCCATACCGCGTTGCCATCGGGTGACTAGCACAATCTATTAAAATAAACCTAAAGAGCTCCTTGAAAGACGAGGCTGGGTAATTTTACAAGTACAGGAAATTACTCAACAAAGAGAATATAACAAGCATGCCAAAATACTTCTTAAAGACTAGGATACAGAAAGAAGACAGGCTTTCCTTATTAAACTTTTTATTAAAATGGGCTATCTTTACATATTTAAAATACTTTATATCCAAATTATGCGATATTTATTAAAAAAATTTTTGCAAACGCATAAAAATATGTAAAGTCACAGCTAAGCAATTTAAAGCAATATATAGCATGTTCCAAAATGTATTTCAGGACTAGAATACCTGAGTTTTCAATAAGCTGGTTTCCTGCATTTCACTGATTTTTAACAGTTAAACTTAATAAGGTATCTGATTTCGTATAAAAAAGAATAGGTTCTTTGGCTGGGAGAAACTGCATGGAAAAGGCAGAGATCGAGCAGAGATAATACTCAAGGCCTATCTGTCTTCAGAATCTTCTTCCACGTGACGATCCACTCTTTGAGATGCTAGGAAGGACTCCCATGTAGCAAGGCACTTAAAAAAACAACACAGACACATATAAATATAGCAGATTTCTGTAAAACTGATAGTCAAGGAGAAAAAGAAAAAAAAAAAAGCAGAATACATACGTATTATCACAAGCTGCTTTTGTGGGACTACGTTAAGAGCAAAATATGGTTTTCTAGCCAGCTCAGTGATATGCAGAACGTTAGGCAACACACTGAGTGAGCTGTAAAGGTCACTTTTACATAATGACAGGCGCACGGTGTGAGCGTGGTAATTGTATGTGTTAGCATGGAAGATGCTAACAGTAATTATGCCCTTCTTTAATCTCTTCATTTAGTTACAGGAAAAGATCTCTTCCAAACAGAAGCGCACTGTCAGGCACAGCTCCACTGTAATCTCTGTGGATTCCTATTGTATACCCAATTTCCTTTCCAAGTTAAATTAAAACAATATTTTTCTCAACACAGAGAATTCATTTTTTTCTCCTGAGTAATGAGAAGAAAATGGGACCAGAAAGGCAGGGAGTGGGGGGAGTAGAGAAATTGTCATTCTTGCAAGTGGCATTCCTTTCCTTATGGAAAAATATATTTATAATTGTACAAGCTATTTTTTTTTTTATTTTGAACCACGAAGACTGTTGGTAGTCAAATAAAAAACAAACAAACAAAACCAAACCAAACCCCACCACCACCAAAAAACGAAACACAAACCCAAGTGACTTTGGTTCAGTTTGGCTTAAATGAGTGTTGGCAGCTTGGCAAATCATTATAAGTCATAGATTAGTGTTGAGAGTCGAGACAAGGCTATCACTAGGTAACCAGTGGTGTGCTTAACAGGCTTCTGTTTCAAACCTGTCAGCAGAACAGAGCAGGCAAATTCATGCCATAATTTTATTGTTTTGATGCTACTGAAAAAAGCCCTTGAAATGGAAATGTTCTAATAAAATTTTGGCATATGCTCATACCTGTTGCTCTTGACAATGCAGCTTTTTTACTGCTTACTGTATGCAGTTTTTTTCATGAAGAATCTGAAATATTCACAATAAATAAGTCTTCTGAAATTTCTCAGGAAATACCTTCTTTTATATTAAAACCTGGATAGCATACTCCATTTATCTGAACTTTGAATTAAATCAGTATCCTGAAAACAGCATCATTTCCTAAGTGAAAACCTTTGCCATAAGCTCTTCAAGGCACAGTAATTTGCTCTGCCCAGCTACAATGAAATATCTAGCATCCATCTGTCATTGCTTAGGAGACATGGAAAATATGCTAAAAAACTCTGTCTTATTCGACATTTCTAGTGAATAACTTCAAAACTCTACCATTAAATATGTAAATTTAATCATATTACATTAAAGAGCCTAGGTCCTGGTATTATTGCATATCTACTGCAAGCAGATGAGTGGGAGGATCTGATAGTCACGTTTAACGTTAAAGTATAAGCTCAAAGAGCAAAATGAGGAAAACACACAGGATGGCTGGAGTTGGGGGAATCCATGATGACACAAGGACGCAGAACCAGGGATGCCCATAAAATTATAGTTGACAAAAGTAACTAGAGAAAGCAAAGAAAAGTCAGCAGCGATTATGTCTCTGAAGACATAAAAAAGTAGATGTGGGTTTGCAAGGTAATGAGAGAGGTTAAAACAGCTGACCGTCCTAGCAGACTGCAAAGAAAAAAGTATGTGGGAGCTTATTTCTGCATAGTTCTGGTTTTGGTGCTTATCAGGCATGTTAGACTGTTTCTCTATTAGTACATTGTCCCCTAGACTCTGGAAACCATGAATCAACTACCTCAACCTTCCTTTTCTGATCTTGCTGACAAAATCCCCCTCTAGCTTCTGCTGCTTTTGCACACAACATTATGCTGCTGTTCAGAGGTTTGAATTACTGTGAGAAGAGGAATAACAGGATAGATGCGTGTGGAAATCTGCTCGCTTCATTGACTCTTTGGAGAAATGTTACTTTGAAATGGTAAATATAAAAGGAGAAATGGTGAAAATAGTGCTAGTATGAACAGAGATCTGCAGGCATTGCAAACTGATTTCTGACTTAAAAGGTCATTTTGACCTTTAGTATAAAGCCTTTAAGGTTTGATCATTAGATTCTCCCCTACTACATGTGACACTGGCAGCTGAGTCTGTCTGAGATGCCTGAGCTGGATTGTGGAATCTTGGTTTTAAAATGTCAGTGAAGCAGCTGCTTAGCAATGTGTCTTCACTGTGGCACTTGGACCTGGATTTCTCTTTGCTAGAGCCCAGCCTGGATTACCATCCTAGAAAGCTGCAAGGCACATCTGTTTTCCTAGGCTTTTTCTAGGTGTTGGACAAGAAATGATCAGTTTCTTGAAAATTCTTTTGTTGGCAGTGACTGGCTTTTTTTCCCCTGAACCACAGTTTAATTTATACACTCTACATTTTATCATTCTGTAATTTCAGTAATGTGAATTTAAATACATATATCAGCACTGGCTGGAATGTAAAAATGGCTTTCTGTTATCTTTGCAACACTGAGCCAAACAGCGCGTGTTAAAATGCGATCACAGTATGTTGCTTAAGCAGATAGATACAATCTATTGAACTCTCTCCATACAAAGATGCAAAGCGGTTTTTTTTCAGTTACACAAGTTATTCAGTTTTTAATTTATCCTCCTTTATATAACCAAAACACATTTTCCTAAATGTAAGAGCAATGGTGGCTCATTTCACTGTCAGACATCCCAGTGCTGCTACAGCTGACAAGTTTTATAATTAACCATACCAAAACAAAACTAGGTCTCTGTGCCTTAGGCTCAAGCTTTTTATATTTTGAAGCATGAACTGCATAAACGACATTTTGTTAGTCATGTGTACTTCAACATTATTACAGAATGATTTTACTTCATTCTCCTGGGAAGTTGAAAATGGTGATCTAAATAGAGGATCAGCCAGCTTTCACAAGGGAGATAGAAAGGGGAAAAAAAAAAAGAAAAATCAAACCCTGGAAATTAAATGTGCATGCATAGGATTGAAATGCATAATCCAATTACTTGTAAAAGCCCAGTGGGAGACATGAAAAAAAGCCTAAACACACAAAATGAAAGAGCAGGAGCTTAAATAAGGCTACTTTACCCAGAATATTCTGATTACTGCTGCAGGTCACACATCTATTCTGCAACATCATTTTTCAAAAAAACAGCAAAAAGGTTTTCATATGGTACAATTGCATGTCTAACTAAAAGGGAGATATAAAAATAGAACATGTAGTAGGGATGATAACAGAAGCAGTGTGTCACATGCCATGTGCGTTTCTGTTCCAGTTCCCTGTGTTAAAAATTTCATTTATGATGGTATTTTCTGGGGTAGAATCTGGAGTGAAATCTTGTGTGTGTCAGAGAAAAAATACACTTTCATAGTTTCAGGAAACAAAAACTAGAGTGCAGAGAAATAGTGATATTAAAAAATATCTCCCTGAAAGTATTGAAAAGAAATTTTTATGGTTGGAGTGAATGAGGGTTCAAAGATGGATTCTGGCTTTGAAGCAACATGTACAGAGACCAACTGGCTCAGCCATATGGTAGCTTTTGAAAATCACATGAAGTCTGGTAGTTAAATTCCCAGGCATTGCTAAGGTTGGATGTGATCAACATGCATGAGCAGCTAACTTTTTGCTAAGCAACCCAATGATGACTTAAATGTATCACTACAGAGGCCTCCAGGGCAAACAACCAATCTCATCTATTTTTCTACAGCTTCTACTGAGTAGAGAGGTCCATAAGGGCATTGGAGTTAGAGGGAAGTTG